AAGGACACATATGTAATATCTTAATCAATAAAAAAATATATTAAAAAAAAAGATCATCTTACAGAAATCAATACAGCCCCTGTACATTAACAATAATCAAATAAAAGACAAAAACACAACTTAAATTAGCAACAAAAACTGTATTGTAATGATTTTGTCAATGTGTCAGTTAGCTAGACTACAGTCCCCAATTATTTAATCAAATACTAATCTAGATGTTGGTGTAAGTTTACAGATGTGCTAAAAGTCCATAATCAACTGACTTTTTTCACAAATTTTATTTTATTTTTATTTTTTTAAATTTTTATTCCTGACAGAAACCTGCCCTATAAATTTTGGACTTTCTTAGCCAGTTAAATAGTCAATAGTATAAAACAATTCCTATAGGTTGAACCCTAACTGATACAAGTATCTCAAAATCAACCTTAATAAAGAAGACACAAGACCTTTATGGATAAAACTATAAAACTCAATAGTAAACCAAATAAGAACACCTGAGTAAATAAAGAGATTTGTCATATTCATGAATCAGATGACTTAATGTGATAAAAAATGTCAAATTTTTCCAAATTTGATTTTATGAATTCAATGTAATTTCAATTAAATAGGTGTAGAAACTTTCAGGGCTTCAACAAACATATTTAAAAATACATATGAAAAGATTTTTTGAAAAAGTCAACAAACTTATTTAAAATATATCTCTGGAAGAATAAAAATCTACGGATTGCTAGGTCAATTATAAAATTTTGAGAAATAAGACCAAAAGTGGGTGAGGTTTGTGTGTCTTAACAAACATTAAGGTGTGTTACAAACCCATAAGTTAAAACTAAAACAGACAAACAAACAAATAGGAACTTTGATTCTTTATGGAGAAGGAAGAAAAGTCAAATGGAATATCATATGGAGCTCAGAAAAAAACTATATGGATTTGATAAATATCAAACTTTACTCCTTACATCAAGAGGAAAGAAGAGGCTATAGTCTAGCAAATGAAAAATTGGTTTAATAAACACAGAAAACAATGCTGGATCCCTGCCGCAGAGGTGGTCTCCATATGAATAAAGACCTAAATATGAAAGGTAAAATTCTAAGTTAATAGTTGAAAATATGAGATAACTTTGTGCCATTTCTGGAAGATTGCCTTATAAAACAAGACCTAACAACATAAACTATAAAGCAAAAAAAAAAAAAAAAAGAGAGAGAGAGAGTTCTAACTGCATTAAGATTCAACAAATGCCACCATAAATAAAATTTACACACAAATGATTAGTTGGGACATCCAAGATATACAAGAAATTAACATTTAGAATAGATAAAGAATGTCTGCATGTTAACAAGAAGAAAGATATAATACCAAATTACTTGATATACAAAAAACAGGAAAATGTGACTCATTCTCAAGAGAAAGGACAATACAGTTAACCTTAAAATCACCCAGATGTTGGAATATTTGAAAATAATTTAAAAGTATCTATTACAACCACACTCCCTAAAGTAAAGGTAAGTGACCTTAAAAGGAATAGAAAAATCAAAGTTGTCAATGGAGAAATAAAAAGTATTTTAGAACTGAAAAATTACAATATCTGAAATTTTAAAATTTAATTGACTCAATAGAAGAATAGAGATAACAAGTGAATGAGTCAATAAACTTGAAGAAATTAATAGAAGTTATCCAGTATGAATAACAGAGAGCAAAATATTGAAATAAAAATTAATAAGCTCTCAGGAACCTGAGGATCAAAAGGCCTATCATTTGTCACTAGAGTTATCAAAGGAGAAGAGAAAGACTGGTGCAAAAAAAATATGGAATATTAGCTAAAATGTCCCCAAATTTGGTAAAGACATTATTTACCATTAAGTAAGCTTAGCAAACACCAAATAAGATGAACTCAAAGAAACTACTCAAAGACACATAATGACTAAAGAAAAGCAAAGGTAAAGAAAAACTCCTGAAAGCAGCAAGACAAAAATGTCACATA